TCCCCAAGGAGCCCAGAGTTAATGATGGATGTGAGGGCCGCACTGTGAGGGACAATGGTCATCACACAGAGTGCATTCACCAAATGCCTGGCAGCACAGGAACCCTGAGAGGCGGCACTGACTCACAGGGCAACCACCGGGTCTGGGAACCGAAGTGGAGAATGAGCCACCACGCGTGACCGCCCACTAGACCAACCAGCTCTGCAATTCTCATCCCTCTTCTCCAGCTTCCATGCCACATGTCCACGTGGGTTCTTCACTGCTTACTCTCCTAGGCTTCATTTCCACCTCGCCACCTCTCACAGTTCCCTTCTTCTCTTCCCCATCCCACCAAACTCCTAATTAAACTCACTTCTACCCCACTAAGTGCTCAGCTGAGCTACAAGCTGCTTCTCTCCACTGTGACAGGCTACAGGCCATGGATATGTCTCCCAGTGGCCCACCCTGCAACACCCAAAAACTGAGGGCCTGTCTGCGCACTTGACCACAGCCTATCCTCTCCTGGGCTGGCGCGCCTGAGAGTCTGGATGTGTGTCACACTCAGTTAAGCGTGCGAGTGTGTGTACAAGGAGGGGGAGCACTGCTGGATTAGAGCACTGAGCTCAAAGACCGAGACCAGGAGTTTGGTTCCAGGTGGTCAGTATCAGGCACTTACAAAGGTTCAAAGACCAAGACCAGGAGTTTGGTTCCAGGTGGTCAGTATCAGGCACTTACAAAGGTTCAAAGACTAAGACCAGGAGTTTGGTTCCAGGTGGTCAGTATCAGGCACTTACAAAGGTTCAAAGACCGAGACCAGGAGTTTGGTTCCAGGTGGTCAGTATCAGGCACTTACAAAGGTTCAAAGACTAAGACCAGGAGTTTGGTTCCAGGTGGTCAGTATCAGGCACTTACAAAGGTTCAAAGACCGAGACCAGGAGTTTGGTTCCAGGTGGTCAGTATCAGGCACTTACAAAGGTTCAAAGACCAAGACCAGGAGTTTGGTTCCAGGTGGTCAGTATCAGGCACTTACAAAGGTATGTCCTTAGGCCCAAAATAGAAAGGCCCTGAAGCAGCACCAATCTGTCTCAGCCTCTGGGAACACTCCGCCAAGTGCGTGCTCGTGGTTAGCATGAACAACCTGCCCCGTTATTATGGGGCTGGCCAAAAAGTTCGCTTGGTTTTTTCCGACAATGGCTCTAGTAGTGCTCAGTTGTCTTTAACTTCATTCAAAACAATTCTGTTAGATTGCATGATGACAGCTGTCATATCAGCGTGCATTTAAAAAAAACATCATGAATGACCTATGGACACGGACAATGGTGTGAAGATTAACTCTGGGGGGGGGACTGAGCACAGGAGGGCAAAAGGGGAAAAAGTGGGGCAACTGTAATAGAATAAACAAGAATAAAAATTTTTTAAAGGTAAAAAAAAAACCATTAAAATTGGTGAACTTTTTGTTAGCCATTTTAATACTGAAGATGGAAGAATATATCCAACATTGTTGGCATATTATGCTTCATTATTTCAACAAAGGTAAAAACACAACTGAAACAAAAAAAAGGTCTCTGCAGTGTACAGAGAAGGTGCTATGACTGATCGAACACGTCAATGTGGTTTGTGAAGTTCCGTGCTGGTGATTTCTCAGTGGAAGATGCTCCACAGTTGGGTAGACCAGCTGAAGTTGACAGCGATCAAACTGGGACACTAATTGAGAATAATCAACGTTATACCACCTGGGAGATAGCCGACATACTCAAAATATTCAAATCAATCGAGTTATTGGTAACAATGAAAAATGTGTATTTTATTTTACAGGAAAAAAAAAAACACACAGACTTTTTGGCCAGCTCACACTATAGTTAAAATGAAAGTGGCAGCTACGTCTTGAATTCCCAACTAGGCATGTTTTATATCTCAAAACAACGTCCCCATTATGAATGTATTTCTAATTCATATACGTATGATGCCTCAAGTATACAATCCAGACTTTTTACTATTCAGAATGGCCTTCGTGATAATCTGCTTCTGCGCAATAACCACTTCCCACTAGGTAGCTGTTGATAAAACTTTTATCACCCTAGTGATGTGGCATGAGAAAATGAACTTCTTCCTTTAATGAAAATGTCACTGCTACTCTAGGTACAAAATGTTTCTATAGTTAAACAATAAGATCCTGAAAGATTTACTACTATGGGAAGGGTGGCTGTCTGTGACAAAATGATCCTAAGAAAGGAAACAACCAATTGCTCTCTCTGCTGTAAACTGAGCGAGAGGAGGTGTGTTCCTCACACGCTTCGGATGCAGTCCCGGCTGAGTGTTGCAGCAGGCCGTCCAACTCTGGAACAGGAAGAGAAGTACCCAATGCATGACAGGATGTAAATCTTTCCAATGCAATATGGGAGGCTACCTTTAAATATAAAAGCAACCTTCATGCGGGATGTTTTATCTTTTACTCAAACTATATGATCAAGAAAGCATAGTAATTATAGGGAAGGCGTCAAGTACAGTACAAAAGCTGGCTCATGTTTGTTGAGTTCTTACATTGTGACAGCAACCATGAATTATTCCTTTCCATTCTGACAACCTCACTATGATGTGTGCTACTCCTGTCCCACAGGCAAAGAAGCAAACAGAGACACCCAAGTCAGTCCCTGCAAAAGCAGCAACATGAGGACTGCAAGATTAATTACGGGAAAGCCAACAAGACGCTGTTACCATTGTCCACCCCTTAAGAAGTTTAAATTGCTGGAGAACAAGGTCACAGGGTGAATTACAAAATCTGATCAATTTAGGGAGACAGGAGGAACGGTATAATGAAAAGAGGCCTTGATTTAGAGCCACAGTGCTTATGTCCTGGTCCAGGCTAAATATGGAGACTCGAGTCCCTTGTTATAAAATTGTCACGATAAAATACTCCTCACTAGAGGTGTCACTAGAATACCAAGAATATAAGGAAATGTGCCTAGAACTGCACTTGGCAGAGAACAGATACCACAATATTGTTTCCTTCCTTATCTTTAGTTTTCATTTCAAAATAGAAGCAGACAAGTACAGCACAGGAAACACATTCAGTAACTCTGTAGTAACTATGAATGGTGTCAGATGGGCACTCGACTTATCCAAGATCACTTGTAAAGTACACGACTGTCTAATCCCTATGTTGAACACCTAGTATATTATGTCAACTGTAATTGAAAAATGAAATACAAGCAGATGAAATCCTCCTTGGACACCTTCCCTCTCCTTCCCCCACAGAGAAACACCTTTCAAGGTGCATCTCTCTGCTGCTGCTGCTGTAAGAAAAGAGTTTTCCTATAATTCACAATCTGCCCTCCATTACCATTGCATAAAATTGTCTAGGTAAAATATAACTTTAGAAAGTGTTTATTTCATGCTTTCAGTATACAGGAACCAGGAAGTAGTAGTTAAGTCCTATACTAAAGCAGTTTAGAAAAAATAATCATTACAAATGAGTAACAACATTTCAAAGCCAGTATTATCAAGACGTGCAAACACGGTATCTCAATTAGCAACCAAAGAGAGCAAACTTGACTCTAAGACTCTCCAGCCCTCGCTCCTACAGCCCAAAATGATAGTCTAAAAAACAAGCCACAGCACGGTATATGAAACATTCAGAGGTTATTCTTTTTTTAATGTCATATATATTCTCAGAGGACTAAAAAAACTATACAAGAGAGACTGAGGGAAACGTTGTCTTTTAAATCTATTCTCCGTGAACAGCCTAGATAAATCTTTGGCTTGAAATCAGACTACTATATGTTTTAAAAATAAAATCTTCTGGGTAAAGCTGAGAAGTTCTCATTTTCAGGTTAAAAACTCATTTAAAAGTAAAATGTCTTTAGTGAAAAGTTTACGGTTGTGCGGCTTTCCCATTACGACTGTGGGAGCTCCAACCGGCAGAAACCACCCTTCTCCCAAGTCTGAAAACTGCGGGTCTGTAGCTCATCCTCTCCCTCCTCTCTTGTGGACTGGCTCTCTCAGTGACAGCTGTACATCCTTCCTCTCATTCCTACCAAACCACCGGGTCTAAAAAACTGTAAAGCACATGACCCTTAAACATTGACAAGGAAGCAGCGAATCAACATCCCAGAGACTTGCCAACATTCAAAGGGCAAATCACAAACTTGCTTCCTAAACCTGAAGGCAGATGCTTCTCGTCCCCAATTAAAGTGAAGGCTCCTCCCACACTCACGAGAAAGCTACCAGGTTTCAGTTCTTTCCTTCATTTTTTAAAAAAGACAAATAAAAATGAACTCAACACATGTATTCTGCCTTCCACTCTTACGCATACTGAAAAATCCCTCATTTCTTCTTCCTCTGAGTTAGAGAAATTCATAACAAATATGCTCGCTTGAAAGGCATCAGGAACTCATTTGAAGGCTGAGGTTTAGAAGACAGGCAGAGAGAGGTGAGCGAGTGGAGTTCGTTTGCGTTTTTTAATTCCTGCTTGGCAAGGCGATCATGCACATGTTTGCAAACAGTAAAAGCGTTTGGAATGCACAAGGATGCAAAGTGACGCGAGGCACGAGAAACAGGCATCATGCAGCTGCCGTGCTGCGCGCCACAAAGGCTGCTCGGGCAGCACGCGAGCTCCAGGCACACACAGCAAGTCCAAGGCTCACTGCTGCTCAAATCGCATCCGGTCGCAGGTGGCGACACGGACGGGCTCCGGCAGCAGGAGGGCCACCCGCGACAGAGCAGCGGCTGAAGCGTGGACGCCCCTCTGCGAGGGGCGAGACCCGGAGTAAAGTGAGGGGAGACTGCCGGAGCGCGCGGAGGACGCGCAGCGGGACCGGGGACAGAAAGGACGACGGAGCGGGAGCAGAAAGGGGTGATGTGGCAGAGGCTCAGAATGCAGCTCGAACCGAGGGAGAGGACAAGGGGACCGGGGCCAGGGGTCAGTGACCAACGGGAGGGGGAGGGCCAGCCGCAGAGGGAGGCTCGTAACACCGACCCGAGGGGCGCGTGGCCTGGGTAGAGGAGCAGAGCGCCTTGGTCACCTGTATTGTTTGAAAAGCTGGTCCGACTCTCTAAAGCCGTTGTTCAGCAGCATGTTGATGCCGGCCAAGGCCAGCTCCGCGTCCTGCAGGGGCGCCGCGGCCGAGTCTCCGTCGTCCCGCCGCCGCGGCCGCTGCTGCTCGGAGCCGGCCATGGGCGCGCGAGGCTCTGCGCAGGGCCGAGGCGAAGTGGGGCGGCTGCTGCGGGCCCGCGCGCGTCCGGGGCCCGGCTGCGTCTACCTGTCCCGAGCTGCGCCGAGCCGGGCGGGCGGGGCTGGGCGAGGCGCCGGGCTCGGGGCGGCGGGGAGGGTGGAGCCGCCTCCCGCCGCCGCAGGGGATTACTCAGCAGCCGCCGGCCCGCGCCAGCCGCTCGCCGCCGGACGCCCGACTCGCGCGGTCCCCGCGGCCGAATCCGTTTCCGGGCGTCTGCAACCCAGCGGAGCCGGGCCCGAGCGGCCGCCGCCCCCGCTTCCTGCAGCCCCCGCGCGCCGGCCCGCCTACCCGAGCCGCGCCCCTCGCCGAGCCCGCCCGGCCCGAGGCGCCGGGCCGCGGGGACACCCACGAGGCCCGGAGGCCCGGACCTTGACCGCCTCCTCCGAAAGGGCCGACCCCGGGGTCTCCGGGAAGCCTGAGGGCACAGCGGATTTGTTAAGGGAACAGGGAACTCCGACTGAGCAATCGCAGCGCGAGCGCGCGGCGGGAGACGAGCGGGCAGCGGCGCTTCGGCCCCGAGCACCTGAAACCCCAGCAGCCGGAGTCCGAGACTCCCACCTCCGTGCAGTTCCGTGGCCGCCCGCCGCCCGTGGCAGCCAATCCCGGGGCAGGTGGGCGGCGGGGGCGGGGCCGTCCCCACACCCCGGCGGGACCGCTTCGAGAGCCCAGTGCTCAGGTACTGGCGGGGGGAGGACCCACCCTCCCCGGCCAGACATTAACATTTGTGTGATGGAACAAGAGGACTAAGTGGTGGCCCAATGGCATATACCTAAATTTTTTAAAGTTATAAGATAAGCTGTTCAAGTGCACTCTCCTCTTACCTGACAATTATACTGTCCTACTAATGAAACAAATAAGTGTAAAGCTACGGTTTTCATAGGATGAAATGTCAGAGATGACTGAATTTAGTCGTATGTTTGGCTGTTCTGATGATGGGCTGGTGGTCTTCTGGGTGGGTAATATGGACACAAGCAATTAATAAATAGTTTTTATGTTTTTCCCTAAGTTAATTTTTCTCTTTTTTTAAAGCAATATTGCTAACATGGTATTACAATCAAGATGACTGTCTTAATGTCAAATAAACACCTTTCTTAAATCATTGTAGTTCTTAAAGTGTAGTTTATTTCAATTTGGAAAAAATGCTCCACTGAGGCATTTACCAATAAAATTGTTTTTTAAAAATTAAAGCTTGCCCTGGCCAGTGTGGCTCACTGGTTCGGAGCTTTGTCCAGGAAACCTAAAGAACGCAGGTTAGATTCCTGGTCAGGGCACCTGACTGGGTTGCAGGTTCTGTACCCAGTGGACACATTGGACGCAACCCACCAGCGTTTCTCTTTCACATAATGCTTCTCTCCTCTCTCTGTCCTCCCTTGCGCTCTCTCTCTCTCTAAAATCAATAAACATGTCCGTGGGTGAGGTTAAAAAAATTAAATCAATATTAAAGTATCAGGATAATCCATGAATTATAAACACCATGTTCAGCATTATAAGGGCATCAGAATAATAAATTACCACAGAAAATTACAAATTAATATAATTTCATCATATAAGTGGCCATTATTTATTTTGTGATTTGTGCCATCTCTTCCACAGATATCCAAACCCAACATTCATAGATACACATTTAAGAGTAATGTGGGTACAAAACCGTGCTAATTCATGCGTACATCTGAAGTCAGGTATTGGAACACCAAAAGAAGCAAGAAACTGAATGCTACTCACTCCTGGGGAGCACCTCTTTGTAATGCCAGAATCGTTGCATTCATGCCATCTGAGAAGGATTTGACAAGCTGACCATTTTTTTTTTAGCCAAGCCCTCCTGAAGTTAAAATAGTATTAGTCCCAAGTAGCATCAGGGCCACAGAACTTCATGGCACTCGGAGGCCGTAATTCTAGTTTTTAGGACATTGAGCATGAGGTGAGTGCCATTTCCCTGGGGTGTGAACAATGTTCATCATGACAATTGATGTTGAGTGTCACAGGTTTCACTGAGACAGCACTGAGTGCCAGGTCCCAAGTGACAGAGGTGCCCATGTGTTCTTTAATAAATTTAGGCATGTGTACGTTTCCATGGGCAGGGCCCTTTAGTGCAGGTGCTATACTGGTCATGTGGCTCACAAGAAACTCTTACCAGAGAGAGAACCCTGGCCACACATCGTTGTTGGTAACAGGAGCCGACCACATGCCCGGTGCTTACAAGCTGCCTGAACTCGGATCTGTGGAATCCTTCACCCCCAAATCACTGAAGCAATCTAGTCAACATGGGAAGGAAAGCAACAAAGCAGTACCAAACTTTGCAGGTAAGCCTGTACCCCACAACTAGTGAAGGTGACCAAGCATAGTCCTCTCCGTGCCTATTACTGAAAAGAGGGAGGAAAAAAGTCAAGAAATCGATCATACCGTGGGCACTTTTACCATGTGGTACCTGGGACCCTGCAGCTAACAATGGCAGGAGGAGTGGGCAGAATCCAAAAAATCTTTGTGGGGCTGGTTCTGTCTCAAGAACATAGTACAGTTGGTTATGGTTACACAGACTTACTGAAATCTAACTGTTGAATGATTGGGGCAAGGTCCAGTGCAATTGCCCAGCACGCTTATGGGTGGGGGTGGGGAGCAGTGGGTGATGTGGATAAAGTGTAATTCTGCCGTGTTCTGTACAGCAGAAACATGCCAAATTGGACTTAACCAGATACCACAACAATTATATTAGGAACAGTATCATGGGCAGTTTCAAATATTTGCTCTGTGATAAGGGACACAAACGGGACTGAAAGGGACCTCACAATCCTAAAGAGAGACAACACATGGACCAGTAATTATACTCGTGACAGCTGTATTTGGCACTGACATTTGCCCAAGGTTCACCTAGCAGGTGGGGAATTAAGGCTGATTATGTTTTCTTCACTAGATAATGATGGCAGATAATGATGGATATTGAAGAGGCCATGGTGTATATTACCTGCGAAAGGAACGGAAATCTAATTGTTAACACATTAGGGCACCATAGACTTAACATTGTGAGATTCCCAGCACCCTCTTACAGAACTAATACAATCTTCAGTGCACTGGGCTTCAGTCTACTAGTTACTCAAGTGTTTCCGTTGGAAGAAAAGAAGAGAAAGGGGAGAGAAGGGAGGAAGGGAGAGGAAAAAAGGAAGCCCTCAAGTGAAGGAAAGAACTTATTTTCTTTCTACATATGTCTTGTGGGTATTGTCAGCAGTTTGTGGTTTTTTGGAGATTCCATTATGAAAACCAAACTCCAAGTCTAAATGATCAGTGAGAAGTTTTAGAATGTGTATGACTCTTTACACAGTAGATTTTTAAAGTTAAAATATGTTAGTTGCAAGTAATACAAAAATCTGACCCCAACTGTCTCAATTGCAAAATTTTTGGTTCGTGACGGGGTTTCCCAAAATGAGGCTGTACCAGGGCTGCGATTGTGACTAGGAACTAGTTTCTCTACCTCTCCACCTCTCTGCTCTGCCTTTTTGGTGCTTGGTGTCTCTACATTCAGGTAGACCCTTCCCTCCTGGTCCCAAAACAGATGGAAGCTCCCAGGGCTACCTTCTTTCCACTTTATATCCAGCTGGAAGGCACTGCTTCTCCATGCTTAACCAGAATCCCCTGGTCGAATCTCATTGGCTTTGATTGACCTGACTGAGGCCAGGTGCTCATTCTTGAACCAATCAATGTGGTTAGGAGGGGGGCTCACTATGAGGGATTAAGGCAGGGTGCCTTCTCCAACCTGCAACCCAGGGGCCACGTGGACTACGAATGTGGCCTAACGCAAAACTGGAAATGTACTTAAAACGTTCTTTTTAGTTTTCATCAGTTTTTGTGTATTTAATGTGTGGCCCAAGACAACTCTTCTTCTTCCAGTGTGGCCTAGAGCCACCAAAAGTTTGGACAGCCCTTGCTGAGGCAAACATCACCTGCTCCGGATCTGGGAGGTGGGATCAATTCCCTGCAAACTCCCGGGTTGGGGAATTCTAGGTCTGTCAGGAAAAGAGAGGTGGGGAGTGGGTGTTAGACAACTAGCATCCTTCACTCGTGTCTTCCTAAACATAGTTTTCGTTTTTGGAGTTACAATTTCAATGCAGTTAGAGAATATATTACCTGAAGAAAATCTGGCGTGGTGTGCTTAGATTATATTAAAATTTTTAGTAATGCTAATAACCGTGACTTAATGTATCTTTTTGTAAGTTTGTGCTCTTACTTGAAATAAATGTAGGTTCCCAGAATGTCTGGAAAATCTGAAAAGGAGAAGAGCAGGGGAATTAATGTCACCACATTTTCATGTCACACAAGCTACGACGCTATCAGCTCAGCCCTTTTACCCTGCTGAAGGGGAGGGAAGGTTCAGTGAACTGCTTTTAATGGAAGGCAAATCAGGTCAAAGGTTGTTATGTAAAACTGTGGCTGGTTCCTTCCTGTTCTGCTCACAGGGGGTTCTCCAGCTGGCCTCCGCAGTGGGGAGCACGTGGGAGACCCCACGATTTCACCTGGCCTTGCCCTGGCCATTTCTCCAGCAGGACACGTGGCTCCGACAGGAAACTCTCTCTGCCCTAGCAGCCACCACGGGGAGGGAAGCCACACCCTTTCGACTGCATGCCTCCACCTCTGCCTTTCCCCCAAACCAAATACCCCGTGGGATGAAGCATGAGTTTAGATCATTGCTCTGCTACTGTGCAGATTCAGGGGCAAGACTAGGGAAGTCAGGATGTCCCCCCTCTGGTTATCTTCCTCCCCCTGGGCAGCTCAAGCAGGGAAGCCTCCTGCCCCATCCTTGACTAGGATGTGTCTTCACGTGGTAATACCGGCCCTCTCTTCATCTTCACAGGGTTTCTCTTTCTCTCTCACTCTCCTCTCTCCCCTCCCATTCCTTTAGCCTTTCTTCCTGCTTCCCTTCCCTTTAACTTGGCTCCTTGCATTTCACTGATACCCGCTGTCCCCCAGATCTACCACCCCTTCTCCTTCTTACAGAAATAATCAAGTCTCCCCTCCCCTCCATCTCACAATGTGCACGTTTTGCAGCCTCTGGTGAATGCCCATGACCCCTCTGCCCACTGGCCATTGTTCTGCAGAGGGAGAGGCTGTCTCTGGTGTCAAGGTCTGGGTCTACTGAGCCCCTGGGGAGGGAAGCAGAGCTCCGGCCCTGTGGATTAGGGGTGAGGAGAGGTGTCCAAGGTGCGGAAAGTTCCATCCAGTGCCCTTGTGGCTTTTCTCCTGGCATATCTAAAACCAAATATATCTTGCCAGTATAATTAATTTGTATCTTGAATCTCCATTTTTACTAATATCTAAATAAGAAAATTCTTTTCCTTCTCTTTATGTAACTTTAACTAATTTCTTACTAACAGTCCTGGTCTTATGCTAAGACAGCAGTCCCCAACTTTTTGGCACCAGGTACTGGTTTTGCGGAAGATAATTTTTCCACAGACAGAGGGTGAGGGGAGATGGTTTCAGGATGAATCAAATGCATTAATTCAAGTTCACCTCCTGCTGTGTGGCCTGGTTCCTAACAGGTCCAGATCAGTACTGACCCTCAGCCCAGAGGCTGAGGACCCCTGTGCTAAATTACTGTTAATCCTTTCCAACATCAACTAACAATAAATGGCACAGCCCAGTTCTTCTCTTTACACTAGGCCCTCCCCCACTGCAAGAAGAGGGGCGATTCTTCCAGTACCTAACCACCCACAGGAATCTGTTGTGGGCGAACGTAGCAGCAGCCTGGGCGTTGTCTGCGTGGAGTGGACTGGTTTCCAAATCTTAAAGTGTAATCAGATTCCCTAGGACTGTTGAGAGCAGCGATTTTCACCCCTTTTCGTCTTGTGGCACACAAAAATTAAATACTAAAATTCTGCAGCCCATCAAAAAATGCATTTTTTGCTAATTTGACAAAAAGTAGTTGTAATTTTGATTTATTCACACTGCATGGCTATTGTCGTGTTGGCTGTTGTCATTTTTTACATTTGACTATCTAAGGAAAACGAAGTCAGTGCCCCTGACTAAGTAGTCAGGTATTGCAGGTTTTAACGTTTTTCATGGCACACCTGTTGAAAATTGCTGGTCTAGAGCATGCAGCGGGTGCTCAACAGCTGTTTGTGACCACGCTTGGTTTGTAAGCTACCAAGGGGGTGAGGTGCAAGTATAGGGAGAGAGAGATTGGGCCAGAAGTCTAAATCAGAGGTTATGCTTCTGCTTCAGCTATGCGCTTACTTTGTGACCTGGAGTAATTCTAATTAACCTCTTTCAGCCTCAGTGTCCCTGTTTATGATATGAAGACAATGATTGTCTTCAAGCTAATTAAATGAAATAATGGGCATTTGCTCCATAAGCTGCACGAGCAAAATGTTATCTGAATTTATGCAATTTGTTTTCTAATATTAATTAAAGCCAGTGGATCCTTCTGTTCATATACTTACTTGTCAACAGTAAGATCCTAAAATATCCAGCTACAAGAAAATCTGTGTAATGAAATAACCAGATGCATCATATGGAGATGATTAACTTAAACCATTTCTAATATAAACTATATGTGTTTGCTATTATTACTTCAGCCTAAGGAAGAAGTAAAGATTTTCTTCAGAATGTGTAAGAAAATAAAAAGTAAACATATCTAAGTTGGAGATTTCTTCATTTGGAAATCGTTTCTGCTTTAATAATCCATTAGTATGTTTTTGACACTGCCTGAAGGGTTGGACAAGGAACTCAATAACACTTGGTATGAAGATTTTAAAAATGCATCTTCTACATCCTGTGTATATAACACATTTTGCACTCAGCTCTTGTTTTTGCAAGCTCTTATCCTTGCAAGGAAAAATGTATTACTAATATAAAATAATGCCTTACTCATAAATCATTTCTGTTTTGCTCTGGGTTTAAGTTAGCAATCCACATGTTCTAACCCAGAACTCAGCACCACTGAATTCCCCACAATAGCTTAAGGAACTAGTGGAAGAAAAAGTTTTCTGTCAAAGCAGGTAACCCACACAGGTATCACCTGTGTAAATGCGTGGACATCCCGGGGCCGGGCGTCCTGACACTCTGGTTTTTCGCAGGGCCCTCACCGAGGGTCCCCACTGTGTCAGAACGGGGGTGAGCGCTGGTCTTTAGACAAATGTTACGAGCCCTCTCATTGCTACGGAAGAGGCACACAGTCAGAAACATGCTCGTAGTACAGTCTGGTAAATACTAAGGCCATTTGACCTTGGTTCAAAGTTTTTCAGAATCCATGTAATTCTTGGATTTACTCCTTAAATATTTAATATTACAACAAATATACACTTTATGAACTGATATTCACTGACTTTCTATTAATTTGTTGATTCCTTACACCTTCAGAGTTAGCATATGGAACATCAGAATGCCTGTCTCACTAATGTAGAGCCAGTGCTTGGGTTTTTGAGCCCCCACAGAATTAACCAGATCAAGCTCCCCTTTAGTCATTGAAGGAAGCTAACCCCTATTTTTATCACTTTCCTATTTATCCTCAAAAGAGGATCCATTGTTACTGAAAACATTTAAAATAATATGAATAAAAAATTGAAGACGATTCCAGTAGAGGATTTTAAATGATGAAAAACAAATCTTAAAAAGAAAGCATGTGTAGTCTTTCAAAGTAGGTAAAGGAGGAAATACCCACTTTTTCAAACTAAGAGAATAAATTTGTATATTTGTTTTAAGAAATTCTACAATATTAACCAAACTTGCCTCCCTGAGGATGGTATACACGCACACACACACATTAAAAACTCATCTTGAAAACGTTCTAAAATTAAATAGTGGTGATGGTTGCATAAAAAACATTGGCTTGTATATTTTAAGCAGTGAATTTTTCAGCATATAAATCATACTTCAATAGAACTATTCATTTACAATAAGAGGAATCATTTTAAACCACAGGGTGCAGAACAGTGGAAGAAGGGAGTTCATGGTTTGTTTGTTTGTTTTTATTTCATATACCCAGGGCAGAAAGAAAAATAGTTTATTATGAAAAATAACCTCATCTTGAAGAGTGCCCAAGAGTCAGGAATGCCTGGTACAGAGTTAAGACTCTGTAAGGTTGTTGAATTTAATCCTCAAAGCAACCCCCTTGGGGTGAGCTTTATCCCAAGTTTACACGGGTGAAAATAAATACAGAGGTTGGATGATTTCCTTGAGTCCATGCAGCCACTAAGGGTTAAAGTGAGGTTTAAAACCGAGGTCTCATGGGCCACCGTGAGTAAATAGTCCTTGTTAAAGCAAACCCTAGTACCTTCTGGGGACCTGACTGAGGGGACACACACACACGTTTCAGGGGATCGGCATTGTCTCCTCCTGAACAGCCTGAAAAGTGCTTCACGCTGAGAAGGTACTTTAAAGGCAGGCGAATATAGAATCTCCTGTACAATCTGATTCCGTGAAACGGGGGTGGAGCCCAGGCATCTGCATTTTACCCCAGGGGAGTCTAGTTGGTGTCGGCGAACCGCAGGCAGCCCAGGAGAAAGAGCTGTCTCTACGGCAACTCCTGGAAAGTGCGTGGCTACTGCTCATCTCTGCGACCTCGGTGGGGGCTGAGTTTTCACCCTGAGTGTTGTATATGTTTCAGAAATATTGTCTGAATTAAATGAATGAAAGCACAATGTAATGTATGATATTGATGGCAAATCATTTTCATATCTTTGGATATGAACATCTATGTTGTGAAACTGAAGATAAAACTGTATATTTGGACCTTTAAGATAAAAGCTTTTTATATAATATCTCCAGAAATTGGGTGCATTCCATCGGCTAATGAGTTATGTATCCGGTGTTGAGAGAAACACTATGCAGAGAGAGGGTGGCCTGACGGCAGAAGACAGGCCCTCATTAAGGAGGGAAGAGGATGCGGACACTAAGAAGTCACTTCAATCCCAACTCTTGACATTTATTTTTAAATGTGGTGGTAAAAGAAGATTCAGAACATTCAGCTGTGTCATGGCTAAAAATACACATCTCTTCACTTCTCCTCACCCTTTCCACCCCACTATTTCCTCTGAGACAAAAACAGTGAAAACAAGGAGACACTGTGAGGTGGTTAAGGGAAAATGAGAACAGAGTTTGTGTCCACAGATAGGACTGGATCTCCGGATCCCACAGGGACTAGTTTCTTCAGCCCCTAAGCCAGGCTGAAGAACAACAGCAGCTTCCTGGGCTTGGGAGCAATCTTCTTGTTTCCCTGTGGTGAAAGAAACACCCTCTAGTGGGTGAGCCCCTCACCTCTGCCCACAAGCAATGCTGCTGTTTAGGGCCCCCCCCCCCCATCTCTCCATACTTGGCTAGGAAACAAAAATGGCCTTTTGCAGCCCTGACCTGTGTGGCTCGATGGGTTGGGTATTGTCCTACGAAGTGAAAGATTGCAGGTTTGATTCCCAGCCAGGGCACATGCCTGTGCTGTGGTGTGGTCCTTGGTTGGTGGCGTATGAGAGGCAGCTGATCGAAGTTTCTCTCACTCTCTCCTTCTCTTCCCCTCTCTCTAAAAAAATAAATAAATTAAATATTTAAATGAACAAAAAATGGCTTTGTGTAAATAATAAAAGCTTTTGTTCCTCTAGGCTTAAGATAGCAATTCTATTGTTTGCCTTTGTTCCATTAAGTAATTCAAGCACATTTCAAAGTTTTTTTTGCTGGGGAAGAGCTCCTTCTCATGCAGTGTCATAACAAATGATCACAGGTGCGCTAGAGGTTCACTCAGGAATGACACATCAGTGAACGGCAGGTCCTCTCGGGTTATTAAGAGGCTTCATCACCAGATATGGCCGGACTATTTTACCTATAATAAGGGCCAGTTCAGGTCAACCACATCTTCTTTAAGGATGTACTGTGTGCCAGCCACCATATGCCAGCTGCTGTGAAAGACAAAGTTCAAGATACAGCCCCTGAATCTGATAATCTTCTAGTCCACTGGGTGAGACAGACACACCAACAGATAATCTAATATATTATAAAATGACCGTTAGATAGAGGTGTATTCTGTGTGCTGGGGCAGCACAGAGGCAGGGTATTAGGCCCCCTGGGGGTTCATGGAAGGTGTGGGGGCGACTTTTCCTGCAAGTCCCCTTGTCCGCCACGGATGAAAGAAAACAATACCAAGACATGATCTGCTTAGGGAGGAGAGGTGGCCAGTTTCTCTGATGAAAAAGGCCTTGAACAGTGGCCAGTTTCTCAGGGAAAAAGGGCCTTGACCAGTGGCCAGTTTCTCAGGGGAAAAAGACATTGAGCCCCTTCCTCCAAAGACTTTTATTGGGTTGTAATACACAGGAATACAGGCAGCAAGAATCAAACAGTAGATAACATTTCAAAGAAATCTGAGGGCTTAGTCTGAGTCAGAGTCTGCCAGGAAGAGAGTTTTGCAGAAACTTTAGGGTTTCCTGCTCGAACCCTTAACATATGAATGAAAGCACTCTTAGCAGAGCAGATTTCACAGGTTTTTTCAGGAATTCTTTGTGATGCCAGATTTTTCCCTGAATCTGCTCTAGCAAGGCAAGGAGCTGCACCCCTCCCCATCAGCTATTCAGGCTTAAGGGGATTAGAGCCAGGAAGCGCTTCTCCCAGAGGACATGGGGACTTGGGCTATGTCACATAGCCAGGGGGGCACGGGTCTATTGCTCGCTCTTTGTTGCAGCCCCCCCCCAGTCCTTCCATGATGGCCTCCCAGGTGATCATGTCTGGCTTAGGTTGCTCCTCACTGTGAGGAAACTTACCCATCGACAACATTGACCATGCTTTGGGGGCAGAGGGAGGAAGCTGAGGCAGCATTTGCTACCAGAGACAAGCCTTGTCTCCTGTGGCTTGCATTCTGGAGGTCGCTCACTCATCCTTAGCCATGGGAGGTAGTTACAATTCCTGAAACCAGGCAAAGTGGTCCACAATAGGAAGGTTTCCTGTGAGGGATTTGAGAATTGAGCTGAGTCTGGAAGAAAGAGGGGGAAAAAAGTATCCCAGGGTGAGTGACCAGCATGAGCCATTAACAGCTTGGACATATGTAACAGCGGGAATCATCAAGCAGTGCAGTTGTTCTGGCGGGTAGAGAATGAGGCAGGCAGTGGCAAGGGATGAGGCTGGGGGCCGGGGGAAAAGTCAGGGCTTGAGGACTGCCCGCGCCTTGCTAAGGAGTGGACAGGCATGAGGAGCCAGTAAGGAATTTTGCGTGGGAATGATACGGTAGATTTGTGGTAGATAGATGGCTCACAGGATTTAATATAAAGGACTAATTTAACGTGAAGAACACTAGAGACTTATGAGAGGCAATTGCAGAAAATCAGAGCACTGGTTACTCCCTAATGTGTGAAATGGTCGTTCTCTTTCTGTTGCAAGTGACCAAACCCAACTCCACTGGGTTTAAATGGAAAAGGTGGGCACAGGTATCCACCTGCAGGGTTGGCTGAGCGTGCTCATGAGGGGACACCAGGACTCTGCTCCTTTTACAGGCTAGCCTTTCTCTCCACTGCAGGGGGAGAGGAGGTAGTGGAACAGTTCATGCTGCAGGCCTGTCCTGTCTGTTCTACGATCTAGCACTCCTGCCTCCTGATGCCAACAGCACTTCCCAAGCTTTGTAACCACACAGAAATTTCCATACATTAAAAAAACAAAACAGAAAAAGTCCTGAAAACGATTGTATTCCCTACCCCGAACTATTACTCTAGGGTATGAGCAATTCAAGGTTCTTTGCCAGATTTGAATTTTCATTACCACCAGCCTTTGTGACTCTAAGTTGCTTCTGGTCAATTCAGTCTCTATTGACTTTCTGAGCTAGTAACCTGCGTTAGAGAGCTTCTCAAATTGTCGTCTCTAAATCCAGATCCCACTCTCCACTTTTAGAGCATTGGTCTCCACGCTTGCCCATCCCCAGAGGGACGGAGTCCTTCTCTCCAGCTTCTACATACCCACTGTCAAGGACGATTCTGCTCGTTGCCAGCTGAGTCACATGACGTTGCCCAAAGCAATCACTGGGGGATAGAATACTCTGATTGGCCAGCCTTGGTCACATAGGGAGGCAGTAGGGAGGGTGAGCACCCTGGCCAACCACTCCACCGGACCCACACAGAATGGGGAGAAGTTGTTTCCAAAGAGAGGAATGTAGGCAAACAACTTAATGTCTACCTCAGAGGGTTAATAAGCAACAAAGAAAATATAAAAGTACTGTACACCTCACCCTCCAGTGTTCCATTCTGCAGTAATGAAAAGTTAAACTTTTCAAAACATCCTCTTACCTCTTCCAAAAATTTTGTTGGATTTGGAAAATAGTCTCCTTGAGTGGAACCGAAGAGTAAACTAAGCACAACTTTATTAAATGTTTGTTTAGGACACCAGTGATGCAGCTGACTTGAAAATCTCTAGGGTATGTTGTTGATGCTGGGAGCAGAGCTATGAAGAACTGAGAAACTCTAAGGAAACTGTGGTGAGGCAGGCACTGAGGAAAAAGGTAGGAAAAATGAAAGGAGAGTCGGGGACCAGGACCATCGGGCTGATGGAAGAGCATCAGTAAAGCAAGGGCAGGAAAGAGAAGGGGGAGGAGTGCAGAGAGAGGGGAGACAGAGAGAGAAAATAGACAGGGAAAGATCATGAAACTCGATAATACAGAGATTAGAAGAGTTGGTTTATCCCAGGAAAGCCAAGAGTCTGCGTATCTAGAACCAAGAAGGGGTTAAATAAGTAATAGCTGGTGACATTTCTTAATATCTGTGACCGAGGGAACAGATCCAGGAGCCTGCGGTCAGCAGTTTCTACCTGAACCCCAGCCAGCTGGACCTGGGGCCCAGGCAGGCAAGAACTCTGCTCCTCCAGAGATGTGGTGTCCAGCAGAAACACAGATAACAGTAGACAAGCGAGGACCTGGCAAAAGGGGGATATCCCTAGTCCAAGCTGCTGGTGGATGGAACTTCTTGGCCCAGAGGCAATGGACACAAGGGTCATCCAGAAGGCACTGAGCCTGGCTTCGCAGGTTAACCTGCAGTCAGTATTACTGAGGAAAGGCAAGGCCACTGGGCAGAGGTTTTTCCTCTGAACTCTGTCATGTTTTGGAAGAGTTCTAGACTTGCTGAATTGCAAAATTGGATGCAGTACAGAGGTCATTGCATAAGAAACCTCGGGTCTTGATTCAACTCTGGATAGTTCTGTTGACCTTGACCAAGTTGCTTAACCTCTTCCAGCTTCAGTTTCATCACCAATAAACACAAATAATGATAAAAGTCCTATTTACTTCATAGAATTGCTATGGTAACCAGATGGGAGGAGCAGTCACACGGTTTGTGAGGTCCCTGCAAAATGAAAATGTGGGGTGCCTGGTTTAAAAAGAATTAAGAAGCCAAAGATGGTAACAGCAGAGCCTTAAAGCAGGTGCCCGAGGCTCCCGAGAGCAGAGCCCTCTGTAGCTGCACAGGTTTGCTGCCACGGTGCCAGCCCTGCCAGGAGAGATAATGCATATCAAAGTGCTTGAGCAGTCTACGGAGAGTTCAAGAAACTTTGTTATTCTCCTTGGCTCTTCGGCATTGTATTAGTTTGCTTGGGCTGCCATAAAAAAGGACCACGACCTGGGTAACCTACGTACACAACAGAAATGTATTGTCTGTTGGTGGGGTTGTCTCCTTCTAAGGCCTGTGAGAGGAGGGTCTGGTCCAGGCCCCTCTCCTTGGTGTGTCTTCTCCTTACATCTCTTCACGTCTTCTTCCCTCAACGCATATCTCTGTGCCCCAAATTCCCTTTCTTATAAAGACACCAGTGGTACTGTGTTAGCGCCCATGGTAACGGCCTCATTTCAGTTTAATTATAGACCCTATCTCCAGATAAGGTCACATTTTGAGATTTGGGGGTATTAGGACTTCAACATATGAATTTAGGAGAGCAGGGGACACAAGTCAAGCCATAACAGGCATCAACTTCCTTCTGCTATTTTGGAGGCGTATCCAGTGGTGTGTAGTCTCAAGGGCAGGTGGGGGTGGTAGGCTGGGTAAGATGGAGGGTTCTGCCACCACGAAAGGGGTGTGTGAGCCAGTGTTTCTGCTGCCCAGTGATACAGCCTCATTGCTTCTTCTGTAAGACCTGTCCTTCAGTCTCTGAAAGCTTGAAATGTATGCCCAATACATTCCTTTCTGACTTAAAAAAAGCTAGAGTATGTCCCCTGTGGCTTGTGACCAAGAAGCCTGACTGACATGCAACTATTGCATTAGACTTGAACAGAGTAATGCACTGGATGCAAGTTCTGTGCCTGTTCAGATTTGCTGACCCCCATCTGCCTGCTGGGCCTGCCTGCGGCCTTATCTCTACCACCACCTGCAGACACAGCCTCCCCCAGTGTGAGGGCTGAGGGCCAGTACAGGCGCAGCTGCTGAGCACATCCACCGAATGGAAGCCACAGCAGCTTTGAAACCCAGGTCCAGGTCTCCAAGGAGACTGTGGAGGCGCCGGCGCTTCCCACCACTTCTAGACATGCATGAAGCACCATTCGCTACGCGCTCATAGCAAATGGCTGCCCCGTAGTGCCTCTGAGGGGCCAGGTGACGACTTGAATCGAGGGAGAGCTGAATCCCTGTGGGACTAGGTTTGACGGATGAGAGTTAGGAGACAGAGGGAAGCAGCAGATAAACTTCTCTCCCTTCCTCCCTGTGACCAGCGACTCCAGGGAGGGGTGTCCCCACATGGTCCATGCAGAGAGTCCCTTAGGCCGAGCGTGGGGCGTGGTTTCTGTGGCACCTGGCCCCACAGTCACACATCACCCTGCACTTGCTCCCACGCTTTCCTTGGCTCACTTCTCTGTCCCTCTGGGACAGAGCCTTCCACCTGAAGCTCTGCCTCCGGTTCTGCTTTCTATTTGTTTTGATGCCCAAAGGCAGGAGCCTTGGAAGGAGCCTTCTGTGGAGAACCTGGGAAGGGAAAATAGGAAACCATTTAATCCCATCCGTCAGGCCCCCGCTCAACTTCCCTCAAAGACAAAAATGGCAGGCAACCAGGAATTTTATGAACAAAGAGACTGGGTATGTTATGGAAACACCAATTACGTCAAAGCTACTCAGAGAACTGAGGCAATCCTCCAAGATGATTCAGGACAGGAGCTGGAAAACAAAAGGGCTTTCACCTGAGCCATCTGTGCTATGGGTGGCTGTGTAAATGGAGGCCAGGGCTGCAAGTGTGTGTTTAAGGGGCAGGGCATCTTCTCCTAGGATTATAGGTTCCTGAGTAGCAGTATGGAAATGATGTCTAATGCTGCACAGCAGTTCACCCCTTCAGTGCTCCTGACAGCCTCCCTCCATTTGGAACAAGTTCATGAGACTTACGGTTCACACTGCAGTAACTGGACAAGAGGAAAATGGGAAATGCAACTTCAGCGTAGCATTTTTCCAGCGCACAAATGGTGATGTAAATGTATCTATAAATGGTTGTGGCTCATTTTTAAAAAAACTATGAGTTTCAAGTAGGTCTTTTAAAAATAGTACCAGGTCGAGTTGGGGTCCACCAAGGACAAATACAAGGGGAAGTTCCAAAAGGAAAAGGAGCGGAGTTGTAATCTACTAGCTTTATGACTTTGGGCAAATGACCAGATCACTCTCTGGACCTCAGTTTTCTCCTCTACAAGGTGGGGGATATAACCTCTCTCTAAGCTGTTATCAGGATTAAGGGAGCTCATGTGGGGGAGAAGCCTGGCCCATAATTAGTACTCTATACATGTTAATGATTATTATTACCATTACTGAGTACTAGAAATGACTACTTCTCAACCCAGAGGTGTGATATATGTAAGAATTGCTTCTGGGACCACTTGGGAAGTGGGCAGGTACACTATTCTTGTTCTCTCTGTTCCCCATGTCTCTGAAGGAGAACACAAGTTTTAATGCCCCAAACTAGCTCAAGAGAATTCCTCCTGAAACCAGTTTCTTAATGGAAGGACATCCTCATGTGCCCTGAAGACACACTCCATGGCACACGGAGGGACTTGGGAGGAAAGTTGCCCCGACGTGGGAATTCCCATTTTTCACACATGCATGCACACACATGCATATTGATTCTAAGGCAAAAGTTATCTGGTCCCTGTTTCCAGCATTATCCCCTGAGGTCTCAGACACTCTTCCGGCCTTGAGGAGAGTGCGTGCAGATAACCTGAGCTCCTGGAAATCACTTCCGGGTCCCTCTCTTGGACTGCAGGCATTTTAAATTGGCCTGGGCTGCACATACTGGCTTTATTTTAAGGTTAGTGCAGGTCAACAGCTTAAGTTTAGAGGGCATCACATAGCGAGGCTACGAAGAAGGCAGTGCCTCCCGAACTTGGCTGCATGTAAACGACATCGGGAAAACTTGCCACCTGTGCCCACATCCAGTTAGAAAATGGGTAAAAGACAAAGAGACGTTTCACCAAAGAGGATCTACAGATGGCAAATATACTCATGAAAAGAGATTCAATATCACTAGCCTTAAAAGAAATGAAAATTAAACCTCGATGAGATACAACCATTGGAATAGCTGAAGGAAAACAGTAGTAGGTACCAAACGCTGGCAAGAATGTAGCAAAACTGGATCTGATCTCTCATACATTACTGGTGGGAATGTAAAATGGGACAGTTCCTTTAGAAAACGGTTCGGCAGTTTCTTAAAAAACTAAAGATATACTTAACATATGACCTTGCAGCGTTCCTGGCATTTAACCCAGGGAAATGCAAAAACTCACGTTCGCGCAAAAACCTTTATATAGATGTTCATGGCAGTTTGTTTGCATGAGCCTCAACTATAAACCACCCAAATGTCCTCCAACAGGACAGCCTGTTACACAGGCTGCTGGGGCACACCACTGAGCGACAGGAGGGAGGGAACTATTGAGCCACGCAACAACTTGAACAGTTTCCAAGAATGTTATGCTGAGTGAGAAAGTCAATCTTGAAAGGTTACATACTGGATAATCCCTTTAATATAACATTCTTGAAATGTCAAAATTACAGAGATGGAGACGGATTAGCGTTTGTGGGAATGCTGGGAAAAACGTGGCTGACACAATGAAGGAGTGAGAGGACCATCGTTAGGAGGGCGGAATAGTTCTGAGTC